ATATATATATATATATATATATATATATATATATATATATATATATATATATATATATATATATATATATACATATTAATATATATATATATATATATATATATATATATATATATATATATATATATATATATATATATATATATATATATATCATATATATATATATATATATATATATATATATATATATATATATATATATATATATATATATATAATCTAGGATAATATATACATTATATATATAATATCCTAACCCCAGCTAATACAGGGTTTGTAGCCAAATATTCATATGAAATTCCCTGACTTTTCCCTAACTTTTCCCTGACTATTCTCAACATTTGCAATGGTTTTTATAAAATGTTTAAAATGACTATCTACTATAATGGAAATGCTATAATTGTACATGCTATGAATGACAAAACTTATAAAACTTATTAGTTAATCGGATTTCATTACAGATCTTATTATACATGCTACTATGGATCTTATTTTTAAAAGATGACTATGAATGAGCACAAAAACATAGGTCTCAGAAAAACATAAGTTTCAGATGATCTTCAAGAAAATCTAAAAACTATGCACATAAAATATTTTGTAAACCATTTTTTACTAACACAAACGTTAACTGAAATATCTAAGTACACAACACAAATATCTTTCAATATCTCATGCAATAGGTCTATAAGAGAGACTGTTTGAGTTAGTCATTTGTTATCACTATTTGTAGTTGTACCCTTGCTAATTCAACAATATCTTCACATAAAAATAGCACTGTATAATAAAACATAGCTTAAAAACATTTAAAAATTACTTTCAGCATCGATAACTAGACTAACCTATTAAATTGCGCATGATCTAGTTCTTTTAATTAAAAACATAACTGAAAATGCAGAGGTTTAAACAGATGGTGTTTAAACAAGCTGAAACAGGGTCTTGAAATAAAAACTGACTAGGATCCAATGAGTTAAAATTAAGTAAACAAAAACAAACAAATATAAAAACTAAAACACAAAACATTGTCTTTTTAGAAAGGTCATAGTGCAAACCAATTTTCTGGTTAAACTTGTCTAAAATTGAAATAATAAAAATGCAAAAAACATAATAGATATAATAAACCTTGACAAGTTTTCAAATTTCTCTTGACATAATCCTTATAAAGAATACAATTTAAAAAGGTCTGCTTCATCATATGTGATCGAATAAACACAAAGAACTTTTAAGCAAAATCCTTTATTGAGCAAAAGATAATTGAAGTTTTTCAACTAGTCATATTTGTATAAATATCAACATAAATAATATTTTATATCAACAAACAAATAGTCAAAAAGAAACAATTGTTAATTCTGTTTCTTTCTCTTTTCCTCTAATAGCAATAATGTTCCCTGCAACCTAGCAGCGTCTTTCATTTTCTACTCACTTTTTAATTTTAAAGCATTTGCTTTGCTGACCAATGATATATTGTTTTTCTTTTCAGCTTGTTCCACACTTTAGAAAAACTCTTTTTCTAGCATCAATAAACTTTTTGGAAGGAGACCCATTTGAAATTTTTGCTCTTCAATTTCAGACAAAACAATGGCTTTTTGGTAAAGCATTGCACATTTTTTGTTCTTTGACTTCTCTTTCTCAAGCATGAGTTGGTTTTTTAATGTGCAGATTTAAAGGCAACTTTTATTTCTGATGTAATCTGTACAGAGCGGGGGTTGAAGTTGTTGATAAGCATGAAACCACGCCTAACAATAGCAACTGTTGATATATTGTCAGTAACTACATCCTTATTGACACTAAACCTCATTCATTTGATGCCTATCCACGAACCAAATTAATGACAAATGAAAACTTAGGGTACTTTTTTATGTAAATGTTTTTGAAGTATAAATCATTAAGGCAAATTCTTTCAATCATAGCTAATGAAAACATTCCCATTCATTGAAAATTTCTGATGACATAAACTTTGAGAACTGGTTGATAACTTTGTCAGAATAAGAAGCAGTTAATATTCCAAATGATCTTAATATCAGCAAGGTTTATGTCCCATAATTGAGGAAACTTAATACCTCACTTCAATTTGCATTTTTTCCTGATTTTAATATCGGATGAGAAAATTCATTTGACAAGTTTGAATTTTCTTGTTGAAAGATTCATCAAAGGACTAAACTAACCAAGGACACAGGCTCAGTTGTTGTTTATGTAAAGCTTTAAAATGAGACCCAAGACCATGAGTGATGCTATATCTAATTTTATTTGGTCGCATTTGAAATGATTTAGCCATCTTGCTGTCAGGAAACATAGCTTGGAACAAATTATTCACATCTTTTTTGAATCGTTAGAAATTTTATTTAAGCAACAATGCAATGCCTACATATTCTTAAATGCACAGTTATATTTAAATAAGACTCTTTCACTAAATTAGGTGAATTATCATTTTTAGCAGCAGAAGATTTAAAAAAACAGGAGAAATTGCAAGTGAAATATGCTATTTTTCCTTTCTCATGAC